AGAGACTTTTTTCTTTGGAGGTGAGCAAACTTGAAAAGAAGTTTGAAAGTGAATAAATGATCAAATATTTTTCCCCCACTGGAATATTGGCTTTAAGAACAGATCAGCTGAAACACTGGTTTGAAGTTTATTACAAAGCAAAAACTCAAAAAACTCAATTCTTTGCGTTTTAGAACAAAAAGCTTAATAAACAGTTTTAATATGTGTTAAATGTTTCTTGTCTGCTTCCTTTCTTCTTTGCATGTTTTACAGATTACAATCCCCTCACCGGACAGGGAGGAGGAGGTTCTTGTTCCTGGAGACCTGGCAGGAGAGGACCCTCGTCTGGTGGATGAGGTTAAAGAAGGTTGGAGGCGCTGGACTGCTGGACCTTTGACCTCTGACATCCTGATGTTCACACTGGCTGTGGAAATTAAGCTGATAATGTCACCTACGCCATGCTTTATTAGAGTTCAGAATACTTCATAGTTGTTGATCAGTTGGCATAATTAATGACCTGCACCTGCATCTTATTTCTCTTTGGTGTTCAGCCCATTGTGTGCTTTTAGTCGATAACTGAACTGACAATTATCTGCTTGTCATGAAGCCATTCCTATAAACGGTTATAACCAGTAGGGTTGGCTGATGATTTCCACACAACCAGTGTGTGTGAGTGCGTGTGTGTGTGTGGGGGGGGGTGTCCTTATATATTTTATTTTGTTTATACCTAAGTGTGCCACTATAGCTAATAGTTTATATCCAGGACTCTAGCTGGTGCATAAAACAGAATGAAATTGAACTTTCGGATTATATCGTTGAAAAATTGATATATAAAAATGGAGGTTCTGTACATTGTTGTGCTCATTTGCATTATACAATAAAGAATACAGTGCAGGATTTTAAATGTGTTGTCTTATTAACAGTTACTGTATTATTTACATTGTGCTTCTCAGACATCCCACAGCATATCTTTAAAGAGCTGAATGTTGTTACTGAAGCAGTAACACCACAGTGTTCTTAAAGACAAATCGCTGAGTCTAAACACTGTAGTGTGAAAAGTAAAACAGCTGTTCTTTTACTTATCACAGGAAATAACCTGGAGCTTTTTGTTTCATTTCACACAGACAAAACAATCCTTCAAAGAAAATCTCGTCTTGTAGAAACAAATGTAAAAGATTTAACTGAATTAAAAACTAAAACTACGTAATTGTTCTGCTCACTTGTCTGAGCCTGATACTTGGTGGTGTCTCATCTTTGGTACGAGTTCATCAATGTTCGGGCTCTGAGCTGAGGAAATCCTCAGGATTGAGTCGAGGTGTTTATCAGTCAGACGGCTCCGGTGTGATGTTTTGTTTAGCTTCATCAAAGAGAACAATTGTTCACACAGGTATGTGCTGCCCGACATGGAGAGCGTCTGAGCAGCTTGGATGCGCAGCTGAGGCATCGTGTCGGGGATGAAACGTGCAAACTCAGCAGCACCCTCTCTCATATTTTTCCCTCAGTGTGTCATTGCACCGGAGCTCAATCAGCTCCATTTGGAGGTTTG